AAAAAAATAGTTGATGCGGTAAATATTTTTGTGCAAGGGGCAAATAGACGGACAATTTTGTGTAATCACTGTATTGTGTTACGCGGTAAATCGGTGTTCTCGGAGTGGAACATTTCCGCTTGAACATTTTTTTTTACCACGTAAAAGCTGGCTGTGAACATACAAATACATACTACTAATGGTTGCTTTAGTGACGGTTATTATTAGCGGTTATTATTGTTCTATATTATTAGTGATGGTTATAAATATATTTATCTGTTAGTCCTATATACATTCTTAAACAGCTGGACCGATTGCGACAAAATTTGGTACAGGATTTTATTAGACATATGGGCAGAAGATAGGTTAAGTTAGTAAGTGATACCTATGCCTAAATGTTATTCAATTTAACATTTAAATTGTTAAAATTATATTGATAAAACGAAGAAAATTACATAATGATATACGAAATTGAATATCGCTGTAAGATTATAATATATTTTAATCACTATCTATCATTATAATAAAAATATTCTGCATGCATCATCACATGAAATGAATTTAACACATAGTATGAACCATATAAGAGGTAGGATTTTTCACGGGCTACGAAGTGCACGGGTTTAACTAGTTATGAATAAGTGGTGCTTAAGGTTAAGCTATATTTATGTCTCAAATTAGATTAATATACAAGACTTTGGCTCTTACTTTGGTATTACTTAAATAAAGGTTGGTGGAGACCTACTTTAAGCATTGCTTTTGGTTATTACCTATCACAATTTTTTTATTTAAATTGTCAAAATTGGCTTAACTATTAAGCAATACTTGTTCTTAAACACTAATCATGAGTAACTAAGTTTTAGTCCATTACAAGAACTCCAAAGAAAATTATGTTGTTGTAATTAACCATGGTTTGATTTAATAAAGTTGTTAATAAATAAATTAATACATTTTTACAGTCCACAAGAAGATGCAGATATAGATTTAGATACTCCAATGATAAATCAAAATGAAAATAATGCTCACATAAACTCACAAAATCCATCAACAAGTAAATTAGTTGTGAAGCAACCAATATTACCCACAACAAAAAAGAGCAATACAATCAGTAATCAAAGCTTGATGTCTTCATTTACTTTAACAAAGGCATCACAAACGAAAATTGATGCGGCATTAGCATATTTCATTGCCGTGGACATGATGCCTTACAATATTGTAGCTAAAGAAGGGTTTAAGCTCTATACAAAGGCTCTAAATGCAAGCTACAATATTCCAAGTAGAAAGATCATCACTGATTCTAAAATACCAAAAGTGTATAATGAAACAAAAACCAACATTGAGTCCATTATTAATAAAACGTATTTTTTATCATTCACAACGGATTGTTGGACTTCTGGATCAAACAAACCATTTTTGGCTTTAACTGGTCATTTCACTGATAGTAAATATGACTTAGGTAAATTTATTTATAAATGATATTCTAAGTTAAAAATTATTATTCAATTATTATTCATTTTCTTAAATTCTGTTATAGGTTCTGTATGCTTAGGGTGTGTAGAATTATCAGAAGATCACACAGGGGAAAACTTGGCTGATACATTACAATTATTATTATTGGATTATAACTTATCTGTTCCAAGTAATAATGTGTGCGCTTTTACGACTGATTATGGAGCAAACATATTAAGTTTCCACATAAAAAGTTTGAGAGTTCCACATATACCCTGTTTTGGCCATGCTTTTAATACTGTTGTCAGTAATATTTTAAAAATTGAAGATATTCAAATTGCTATACAGAAAGTACAAAGTATTCAAAATATTTTCTCATAATGTTGGCAAGCAACTAGAGAGTTGGAAATTGAACAAGAGCTTTTTTCTTTAAAAAAAATTAAATTACCATCATACTCTAAAACTAGATGGTGGTCATTACTAAATTTAATATTGGTAGTATTAGATCAAAAACTAGGATTATCTAGTTTTTTGAAATCTTATAAAAATGGACAACACAAAAAGTTGATTTTGTCAGATGAAGAAATTGATGTTTTAAAATGCATAACTACAGTTTTAAAACCAGTACGGGAAATTACAGACCATTTAGCTGGAGAGAATTATGTTACAGCATCAGCTATATATCCAGTAATATTTAATTTAAAAAAAAAAAATATCMGATGTTGTTAATGAAGATCATAATGACAATGCTTCTGACAAAAAGTGCAGAGAAATAAAAACAAAAATATTTGCTTGTATAATAACGGTTCTTGACAAACGTTATGATAATAATACTGTGTTACGTCCCGACTGAACGTTGATTCATACATCAACGTAGAGATTAAATACTGATGTTTACAATGTAATAATGTCTTTATTTTCACAAGTTATTAATAATTGATACAAAAATACAGTTTATATGCTATAAADGTGTTGVTGAGCGGTGTTACGACCTTACTCTGAAATATTGTTTTAAATGACAATGAGTGGTTTTACGACCTGCCTCTAAGTGTCTTAAATGTCCCTAACCGTCTGATGAGCTCTTGTCGTGGTCTCCCTTATATATGCTAGTGTCCGTAGGAGTAAGTGGTCGTACGCGGTGGTGAAATCTGGCACAAGGCAGAATTTGAGTCTCCTAGTGTAATTGGTTATTCTAGTCGATTCACCTCCTTTCTTGGTAACAGAGACTTTTTCCAACAAGAGACGTGTGGCAATGCTTTTATAGTTTAATTATCTACGTTTTTTACGATGACCTCAGTATGTTATTTTATATTAATTGCCAACTTAGTTATATCACCACTCATAGTAGAAATGTACACTATGTGTTTTCGCCGCAAGGGCTCCTTGACTAGAAGGTTGGCGCCTACGACTCGCACCACAGGACTAAGGTAGATAGCTGGAAAATTGTCTGATGTTAATGTGGGAACAATTTATTGAACAATATAAAAGAAAATGATACAAATTAACTWACTAGGGGATGGCCAATCCACCTGAATAAATATAATAAAATAAATAAAATATAGGTTTTCAAAGGTAATTGAACTAAGACCAATTAACAATATATATAGATATATAAAAGGCAATT